GGAGCCTGGGTGCCTGTTCCCCCACCCCACCCCACCCCGGGCTATGCCGCCAGGTAGAGACCTGGGAGGGTGAGGTGCCCCAAGTCTGTAGCAGCCACTGCTGTGCAGTCACTGGAGTGTGAAGAAGTGCCCAGGCCACGTGAGGGGGCTCTGAGACACACGTCTGGTCACCCCTCTGGATGCCACCTGTGGCCCCGACAGCCTGCCACCCCGCATGCCTCCTGAGCATGGTTGTTAAACTTCATACGAGGAATCAAGAGGCCTGGGGGGAGGGGAGACACACAGAGACCTGCTGGCCAAGCTCGGGCTCCCTGGATGGCACGGTCCCGTGGAAGATTCCAGACCAGAGCGCAGAAGAGCCCTCGTTCCCGAGCACTTTGGTGGGTGTCCCGTGGCGCGGGTGGCAGACGGATGGTCAGTTACAGGCGGAGGAGTGGTTCACCGGAGGCAGGGGGAGTGGAGGTACGTGGGGTACACGTGATGGGAATCTCAGGGTGCAGACACTGCCTTCATGTCGCTCCGCACGGGCGTTTGGAGTAAAAGTCCACAGACAAGCGTTAGCATCTTCTTCAGAGATGGGGGGGCTTTTCCAATGTTCGTTTTGTTTGTTAAGAATTCCTATGCAGATGGACGTCTCGGGGAAGCTCTCCTGCCCCAGCTGGCCCATGCCCACAGCAGAGCTGGGGGGTCGGGGAGGCTCGGGGTCAGAGTAGCTCCCCTGCAGGTGGCACCAGGGTAAGTGTCCAGACCAGCTTCCTCCCCTGCGAAGGACAGGATCCCAGGCCGATGGCATCTTCGTGGAATGATGGGAATCACAATTCATCGGATTATGGAAGTTTCTGATTTATTCCAGACAAAAATACTAGCTCTGCCGCTGGGAGTCACCTCGGGATGCCACCACACAGCCATAGCCACAGGTGGAGGGCGCAGGGGGTGCGTCTGGGGTGGGAGCCCTTGCGCTACTCAGTTCTTTCCCTCGGCGGCCTCCCTTCCCTTCTCTGCCTTCTCCTTGGCCTTCTCCTTCTCCTCCACCTTCTCCTCCTTCTCCAGCGTGGCCATGATCTCCGCCACCTGGCTGGTGGAGATGTGGATGTCTTCCTTGTCGATCAGCTCGATCACCTGTCAGGGAAGGAGCACACACTCATGGGGGAGTCCTGCCCCCTGGGCTTTACGCTATCAGCCAGGGAGGGGGCAGGGCCTCCAGGGAGGCGGCAGTGTGCTTCCCGAAGGGCCAGGAGTGGGGAGATGGGAACAGGCAGGCGGACGCCACAAGGTGGCAGACCCCATGACCCTGCTCCCGACTGGGCAGGCACCAGTCTACTTCCTGCAGCACCTTGCTGTTTAACCCAGAAGGCTCTGACTGACCCGAGAACACTAACGTACCCAAGCTTCCCCCCAGGAGCAAGCCAGGTCACGCACGGAGGGCCTGCCCGCCAAGTGGCCTCTCCCTCGCTCCTGCCCGCTCAAGCAGCCACTGGGCCCCCAGGCTCATTCTCCCCCAGGGCCGACAGGGCCTAACTGGTCATCCCCAGGCACACCCACATGCTCGCGCACCCCAAGGGGCTGGGCAGCCCCACCTTGACGAGGTCATTGATGTCGATCCGGCCGTCCTTGTTCTCATCCAGCGCGGAGGCCAGGCGCAGCAGCTTGCCTTCCGGAATGTGCTTCACCTGCTTCATGGCACTGATGAGCTCGGGGATGCTGACGAAGTTCTCCCTGGGGGGGGCAGGGAGCACAGCCTGCCTGTGGCCGTGGATGACGGAGGGGCTCTCACCTGGCAGGGGAATGGCCCAGGCCCAGGCCCAGGCAGCCTTTGCGGGCAGGTCACACAGGCCACCTGCTCAGCCTGGCTGGGTGCTCTCTAATTCAGGGACCAGCACCCAAACAGGACTGAAGGGGGTCTGTAGACCTCACCTGCTCGAGGGGGCCCTTTGCAAACCCGTGGTGGAGGGAGAAGGCAGACCAGACTGCGGGTGGGAGGGTGGAATGCAGCCCTGTGGGGCACTGACCTGGTCTGGGGGTGGAGGAAGGCTTCCATGAGCAAGGACCTGGAGGACGAGCAGGGTCACAGAGGTAAGTGGTGAGGGGCCCGGGGCTGACCTGCTTGCCACCGCAGGGTCTGGGAGACCCACGTGAGGCAAGGTGTGTGTGGAGGGCCCTGGGCCCGGCCGGGCAGCGTGGCACTGGTGGTTGTGGCTGCTCCTTGGAGAGGCCGGCTCCCGTCTGGGGCCATAGAGGGCATGGGCCCAGAGCAGACAGGCTGCTGCCCTCATGAGCACCACAGTGGGAGGAGGGACAGCGAGAGCCCAGCAGTGTGAAGCAGCCCAGGGCAGCTAAGGCTGGCGGGGCTGCCAGGAGAGAGAACCACAACTCTGTGTGTGCACGTGCTGCAAAGTTCTGCCTGGCTGCAGTCTGCACGGAAGCGTAGGCAAGGGAGGCAGGGGGAGTTCAGACAGGCCACGGCCAGGCCAGAGTCACTGACAGCCCTGAACACCGAAGTCAAGTCCCTCAGATGATCCCCAGCTGACCCTGGCTGAACCAGGCGGATTTGAGCTGCGAGGGCCTGCTCAAATGGGGTTCATTTCTCCTGCGACCCCTGGTGCCCACTGGCCGCTTGCCCCTCTGGGTGAGAGCTCAGTGCTGGGGCGCTGTGGGGAGGTGGGGGCGCCATGGAGCGGTCAGCGTTCGAGGTAGACCCTTGTGGCACCTAGACTCACCGCTGCAGCCTCCCACCGCCCCATGAGCGGAGTTTCCCTGGCAGGCGTCGTCATCTTCCTGGGTGATTGGCCATCCCACTCCACCCCACCCCACCCGAGCCCCCAGGCCTGTGCTCACCCCGCGGGCGTGCCCCGGCCAGGGCTCAGTGTGCCAGCCTTCTGCTCCGTCTCCAGCTGGGCGATCATCTCGTCGATGTGGCCAATCATCTGCTGGACCCTCCGGGTCAGCCGCTGGCTGGCTTTGGACTCCTCCACGAGCTGGTCCTCGCCGGTCTTGGACAGCTCCTTCTTGATCTCCTGCAGGTCCTGCCAAGAAGGGTCCCAGCTTCACAGGACCGCACGCAACACCACTAACCCCTACCTTTCTTGAGGGAAGAGACGCAGACCCAAGACACCCACGTGGTGGGGTGGGCGATCACCGTGGCGCACACACAGGCGCACACACAGGCGCACACACAGGCACACAGGGTGCTCCTCTCACGCAGTCACGGGGGAAGGGGCGAGGAAGAGAAGCAGCGGGGCTGTAAAGCTGCACTTCTTCAAGTTTTCTATCTCCCTTAGAACTTGGGTCGGACAGTATGCAAAAATACAGAAAACGAGTGGTTTTCATTTAAAAAAATAAAGGGAGTGGTGGGATTCAGTGAGTCTCAGCTGGCACCAGGCAGTGGAAAGTTCCAGGATGGGCAGGAAACAGGAAGTCCATTGATGCCCACCGGGGAAGGCTGGCTAGTCATGTTTGTGTTTATCCTCCGAATTTGTTTTCGATTTCTGCAAACTCCGAGAGTGTTTCCTTGACAGACGAGACAGACATGCTCAGAACCCCGCTTCTCTCCCCCTCATGAAGAACAAGGTGCTCACAAAATAATAATGATCTATGAATTATGAAGGGTTCATTAGGGAGGGGAGAATGGGAAGGGAGGGGGAAATGAGGAGCTGATATTAAGGGCTCAAGTGAAAGGCAAATGTTTTGAGAACGATGATGGCAACAAATGTACAAAAATGTGCACGACACAATGGATGATAAGAATTGTATGTGCCCCCAATACAATGATAAAAAAAAAAATTATAATAGCTCTTAAAAAAAAAAAAAAAAAAGGTGTTCTGGGAGAAATGCCGATGTGGGAAGGTGATGCCAGGACCTGGGTGTGCGTGGGGGACGCATGGGGGAGCCCAACCCACAGGCTGGAACTGTGTCCGTGTCCCAGTGAAGACCCCCAAAGACCACACAGGACCAACGACCTACAACTGGGCCTGGAGCGTCTTCTTAAACCAAGTCTCCTGTGGCACAGCCAACACCAAAGCCAGGGCTGTGCCAGGAAAAGGCCTAGGTTTCTCTGCTGACCACACGGTCAGGCCTCATTCTCACCAGAGTGAGCAAACTTCTTGGTGGCGGCAGTGCTGCCGGCAGCACCGTCGACTCTAGAAGCACTCCATCCTTGACACCTGCAGGTCCACGCCCACCACCCGAGTGCAGAGCACACCTGTCTCAGGGTTCCTAGTCTCCAGGTCTTTCTGCTGAGGCACTTCCAGGTGGACCCAAACCTCCGACGTTGGTCAGCTGCCCAGCGTGCTTTCAGGAGCGCTTCCCAAAGGCCCTCGGTCTGCCCGCAGTCAGCCTCAGGGCAGGCCGCGCGGCCCAAGCAGGGCTCCTCCCCAGAGCTTGCTTTTCATTTCCCTCAGCATGCCCAAGGAACGCGGATGGCCGGGCCTCGCGGTCCCACTGCCAGGGCAGCTGCCCCGCCTCACCCTGCTGCCCAGTCCCCGGGGCCCCACCCGGCTGCCCAGTCCCCGGGGCCCCACCCCGTGCTCACCTCGCTGTAGTCCTGCACGTCCTCCTTGAGCAGCTCCAGCTGCTCCTTCTCCTTAGTCAGGGACTTCTTCTGCTCCTGCAGCTTCGAGCAGGCGTCGCTGAGGATGTCGATCTCCTCCTTGGTGATCTCCTCCCCCTGAGTGAACACAAGCCAGCCGGACCTTAGCGGAGGGAGACGGTCCTTCCCCACGGACCTGGGAGCAGCGAGTGAGCCTCCGCGGAAACGGATCAGCTGCAGTCACCTCCTGTGGTGAGCTCCGCCCCCTTGCCATCCCACCACAGGTGCCCCCTGGCACTCCCACTACTCAGCCCTGCCCTGCCTCGGGCCGGCATGTGCTTCTTCTGCACCATCTGATACCCATCTACCTGCTGGCTCCTGCCCCTCTGCAGGGGCAGGCTGGGACTCCCATATTGAGGGCACCCGCCTTCAGGGCCCCAGCCCCAGAGCCCAGCCTAGCCTCCATCCGACTCCCGCCCCCACTGCCCTAAATGCCAGTTTGACCTCCAGTCCCTGACCGACCGCCAGGGCCCTGCCCTCCATGGCAAGGACACAGCCGCCGTCTCAGGAGGGACCCAGCCTCCCAGGAACCTCAGGGCCACCTGGGAGCAAGGCTGTGTTCTCAAGCCTGTGGCCTCAGGCAGGTCAGCCAGACTTGGGGGCTGCAGCCTGCTCCCCAGGACCACCTCAGCGTATACCTGCCTCGGCCCCTGCTGGCTCTGGATGACCCCGACGCACCTTCACGCCCTCCAGGATGGGGGCGGTGTCCCTCAGCACCTCGTCAGGCACGATCACATCAGGCACCTCAGGCTGTGGCTCCACCAGGGGCCTCCCAGTGGGGACGTCCGCCACCACCTCCGGCTCACCTTCTTTCTGCAATGCGGCACAATGCTCACCCAGGCCCAGGCGCCGCCCTCCCATAGCCCCCACCGGGAGCGAGCAAGCGCCAGGCAGGTGTGCCGCTTGTGACCGGGACCACACGGGCCCTGACTGTGCTCGAGGCAGACACGCCTCTGGGAAGCGCAGTTGGTGGGCGGTGCCACTGCGTGCAGGCCCCCGCCCCTCCCCCCCCAGTCCCGGGGAGCGGCTCAGCACAACCCACTCATGGGCCTGCCTCCCAGCATCAGCATCGGGGGCACCCCCACTCCCGGCAGGGCAGGCTGCGGCTGGGTGGATGCAAGTGTGTGCATGCGTGGGATCTGCCTGTAGGTGTGCACACATGTCTCTGTGTCCCTGAGAGGCGCAGCCTGGCTTCCCACGGTCCCCCATGGCCAGTGCCCAAGGGGATTGAGTGGGGGCAGGCTCTGGACACTGCGGGAGGGCACACAGAGAGGGGCGGGCTCCGCGTTCACGTTCAGGGCCCCTCCCTTTGGCGGTGAGACCAAGAAGCCGCTGTACGTGCGGGCAGCCAAGGTGCTGGGTCTGGGGTGTGGGGCCGGCGTGTTAACACCTCCCTACAGCAGCCCCAGGCCACACCAGAATCTGGGAGCAACCCTCCCACAGCAGCCCCCTCCCCCCCATGCAGGGCGTGCCTGGGCCACGCTCACCGCCGCCTCCGCTGCCGCCTCCTCAGAGCGCCGCTGCAGCTCCTTCTCCTCGTGCTCCTGCCGGATGGCTGCCTCTTCCTGCAGCGTGGCCTCCAGCTTGGCCTTGTTGTCCACCTTCTCGCCCTCCACCTCCGCCGCCTTCACCTGCGCCTCCTTGGCCTGAAGACATACGCCCGCATCACCACCGTCCAGAGCAGAGGATCCAGCCCGGCTCCCCCGGGAGCTGCCACCCCAAGATTTCACTCTAGACAGCCGGGGGTGGGTGGGGGGGGTGTCGCAACCAGACGCAGGAACCAAGGGCAGAAACAGCGAGGGCAGCACCTGATGCCCGCCGACCTGGACACCTAGGCCTCGCTGAGGCTCCTGTGCTGGGAGTGGTGGTTTCGCCTGGGCTGGGGGAGGGAGGGTCCCTGGAGGGAAGGGCCCCGTTCCACTACGCACCACTATTTCCGGCAGGGTCTGCAGCGTGGACTTGAGCTGGTCCGCGGGCGAGAGGGTGTCCGGAAGGTACATGGCCCGGGACAGGATCAGCAGCGATGTGGGGATCTCCTGGTTCAAGTGCAGGTCCAGCCACTGCCGGTCAGGACACAGATGGGTCAGGGACGCCACCCTGAAGCTCTCAGAATAGGTGGGGGCAGGGGGGTGGAGGAGGGCAGGCCCAGGAGGGTAGGCCCAGGAGGGTAGGTGCTGGCCTGGGTGGCCTTGCCAAAGCTCTCCTGGCCTCAGGGAGCCCTGGTGGTTGGGTGGGCTGTGTTGGGCCAACCGGAAAGCCGGCCCTTTGAAACCACCCGCCACTCTGCAGGGGAGAGGAGAGGTGACCTTTGGGGGCTCTGGCTAACAAAGGTAACCTGGGCCTTCATCCGAGACTGCAGAGCTAGCAGAGGCCGCATTTGGAGTGCGGCTCCACAGGGCAGTGCCTAGGAGAAAGGCCTGCTGGTCCTCCCCTGAGAGGTCAGCCCCTGGGAAGCCCGGTGGCCCAAGTCAGTCCTGCTCCACACGCAGGGTCGCCATGAGTCAAGGGCAACCGCATGGCAGCTAACAACCACTGCTTAAGGGGAAAAGAAAAGCGAAATAAAACCCCAAGAAATAAACGGAAAGGCAAGATGCGAAGGCCTTGGAAATTGACCTGGGGAGGCTGGGGCAAAGAGCAGAAGCGTACCAGGCACCCAGAGCCCAGGTGGCCTAAGTGCGTGGGGAGGAGGGAGAGCTGCGGCCCAGAAACACACCTGCTCGCCCGCCCGCCCGCCCGCCTGCCTGCCCACCGTCCGGGCAGGCGCCAAGTCATGAGCGGGCGTGCTGGAGTGTGCCCAGCGGGCCACGTACCTGCTTCAGCTGACCCTTCAGCCGGTCTTCGGTGACGCCCAGTGCCCGCATGCCCCGGGCCCGGCAGGCCGCCTGCAGCTCCTTGACGGTGAGAGTGTCCACCCCTTCCTCGGAGATGAGCTGCGGGGAGAGCACATCCTCAGTGGCTGGGCACAGCCCGACGGGGGCCACTAGCCCACCAAGAGGTTAAGTCGCAGACTGCACAACTGAGGGTCTGGAATGTGAACTTTCCCCTGGTCCACAAAGAAACCACGTTTAAGAAAAAACAAACAAAAGGTGTACAGGTTTTCAGGGCTCTGGTGGTGGTGTGGTTATGCGCTGGGCTGCTAAGCCCAGATCAGCAGTTTGATATCACCAGCTGCTCCTGGGGGGGGAAGATGAGGCGATCTACTCCCCTACAGTGGCGGCCTCAGTCATTGACCCCCAGAGGCAGTCCTGGTCACTGAGCTGGAGTGGACTGGACAGCAGAGAGTTTGAGTTTTGAGTGGGAGCACACTCACACACATAGACACCAGTACTTACTTACGCACAACATGGATACAAACTTACACTCACATTCCCGCAGCCAGGAACAAGGCGCCCCCCCCACCCCCCAGCATGCACTCTGCTGCCGAGGGAGAGGACAGCAGAGCTCTAGGCGGGGTCAGAGACGGGCGGTGGGGCGCTCACTGCCAGCCAGGCCCAAACCCTTTCGCGCCACGCTGCTCAACCTCACAGCGGGTCCTGTGGTTGGCTCCACTTTTAAAGCATTTATCTTGCAGCAAGTGCCATCCGAGCTTGGGGGTGCAGGGCCTAGTACCGATTACGCATCCGCACACCCTGCATCTGCTTCCCACCCACATGGAACCACCAGGGGCAACGTTGACACGGTGCACCCAGGGCGCCCACATGGACACTTCCAGCCCCACTGTGGCCCCAGCAGCAGGGAGAAGAGAGTTGTGTCCATGAGACTGCAGGCCCTGGCGGCACCAGCTGCTGGGAAGCCCTTCTCTGGTTGCCTAGCAGGTGCCTCTGCCCTGCATGGCCTGGGAGGCCGTCCTGAAGCTAGAATCTCTCCCACTGATGTCTCCTTTGGGCACCAGCAGCTTCGCCCACTCACCAGGGCTCTCTGGAGACTGAACTGCCGGCGCTTGCCTGTGGCGCCAGGGAAGCACTGGGCTGCTCACCCAAAGCTTAGAGGTTGGGTCGGCCCACGGGGGGCCTCCTGCCTGCCATGTCATTCGCGTGGAGAAGCCTGTGGATAGGGAAACCGAGACAGCCCCCCTCGTGGAAACACAACCGGGCCAGCAGCAGCGGAGCGCTGAGCAACGAGGACAGGTGCAGGCCCGGTGCTCTGCTCCCGGCTTTCTACACCCAAAGGAGGGGCAGCCAGATGCTCACCAGCCCACAAACAGCCTTAACAATGTGACGCACGCAGACGCCCAGAGGGTCCTGGCGGCCCCTGGTTCGAGCCCACCAGCCACTCTGCAGGAGCACGAGGGGGGGCGACCGGCTTCTGTAGACTCCAGTTTTGCACACAGACACTGCCCCCACCCCCACCTGCTCCCACTCAAAACTCAAACTCTCTGCTGTCCAGTCCACTCCAACTCAGTGACCAGGACTGTCTCTGGGGGTCAATGACTGAGGCCACCACTGTAGGGGAGTAGAGAGCCTCATATCCCCCCGCCCCAGGAGCAGCTGGTGATATCAAACTGCTGACCTGGGCTTAGCAGCCCAGCGCATAACCACACTACCACCAGAGCCCTGTTCTGAGTGCAGTAGCTCCGGTGAGGAGGAGGGAGGAGACCCGATCCCGGCACGCAGGAGGGACCCTGGTGGGGTGGCCGGTTCTGCCAGAGCATCCAAGGACAGAATACACTCCACTCCAGGCCCACCGCAGGGAGGGCAGAATACACTCCACTCCAGGCCCACCGCAGGGAGGGCACTGCCAGGGCACCAGGCATCACTGGTGCTCACAGGGCAGGTTGGCGCAGAGAGGGGAGAGAGGCGAGGAGGAAAAATGAGTACAGTAAGCCCAGGGACGAAGGGGGATGAGGCGACGGCTGTCAAAACCACAGAGCAAGCCGGGTAGGACCCGAGCCAGGACGGAGAGTTGAACACAGAGGAAGCAAAAGATGGGGGGCTCGAGCCATAGGTCTCACAAACATCGGTGTCCAAGCCCTATTTCCGGCTTCCTCTTGAATCCCCTCAACATACACAGAGGGTCCCTCAAAAAACACAAGTCCTGCTTTGGACGTGCCCACCTTGGAAGCGTGGGGGTGAGGTCACCCTAGGGCAGACTGGGGCCCCCTTCTCTTTATGACTGCTGTCCTTCTAAAAAAAGGACACAGGGACACAGTCAGCCCTGTGTGGCAGAGGCAGACCGACAAGGGTGATGTGGCCCCAAGCCAAGGAACGCCTGGGTCCACCAGGTTCCACCCTTGCAGGCTCTAGGGCAGTGTTCTCCACCTTCCTAATGCCTTGACCCTTTCATACAGCTCCTCATGTGGTGGCGACCCCCAACCACAACATTATTTTCATTGCTACTTCATCATTGTCATTTTGCTACTGCGATGAATCAGGCAACCCTTGTGAAAGGGTTGCTCAACCCCCAGATTGAGAACCGCTGGTCTAGAGTCTGGACTCTGATTCCAGGAGTGCTTGCCTAGAGCCTCCTGCCTGGGGGAAAACAGCGGCCAGGAGAGGATGGCAGCCAGTGCGGAGGGCCTCCCGGGCAGTCCGGCAGCAGCACCAACTCTTCGCTGCCTGCCTGCACCCCTCCCCAGGAGCCCCTACTCCAGGGTGCCGGGTTCAAGGACATTATCCTAGACCTGGGGCCAAAACTTCACATGGATACTGATTGCTGGGTTGTTTAAACTGAAAGTTAAATGGATTACGGTGTTTGGTCCTTACAGCCCAGCGTTTTTGCAACGATTTAGTGAGAACAGGGACCGACTGCGTGATGTCCTGACACGTGACAACATCTTATGGGCCCCAAGGACTCCAACACATGAATTTCAACAGGTAAAGGGCACACTCACACACACAGATACCAGTACTTACTTACGCACAACATGGATACATACTTACACTCACATTCCCACACTCCTACACCAACCCCCATCATCTCACACTGTATGGATACAAACTTACACTCCCAGGCTACATGGATACAAACTTACACTGATGCAAACATATGCATTCCCACACTCGCACACATGCACATCCACAATCTCTCTCTCTCTCTCTCTCTCTCTCTCTC